TTTGATTTATTGTAGAGATGAGGTCTCACTGCCCAGGCGGGTCTCAAACCCACGGGCTCAAGGCTCATTTTTAAACTCAGACTTCTCTTTTGAATACCATAGCCTCAAATTCAGTTGCCTCTTCAACAACTCCAATTAAAGAGACTTTGTAAACCTAATATGCACAAATGGAAACTGGTCCTCCTCAATCAATCTCTACCATTCCCATGGAGTCTCAGAAAATTACTCAATGACTCCAGGAAGCTAGGAGTCATCTTTTAGTCTCCCTTTCCCTGGTCCCCAACTCCAATCTACCAACAAATCCTCTAGAGTCTATATTTAAAATATATCTGGAGGGCAACCTCTTTCAGGTCCCCTTCCACTGTGGAAGCTTTTCTGTATTCTTAATAAATCCTACATATATATATTTTACACTTCTCTCCATCACCAAAACCATCACTTTGGCCCATACCACATGTTGCTTGAACTATTACAGAATCTCCTAATTGCCTGCTTTCACTCTTTCCCCTTCAACCCACTCTCCACACAACAAAAGAGTTCATCTTAACAACTGCTTCCCACTGAATTCAGAATAAAATTCAAACTCCTAATCATGCCTGTAAGGCCTTGCACATCAGCTCCTTCCTTCACTTCACATATCTTCCTTCACTTCATAAAATAAATCCCAAATCTCCTCAGGGTCTTCCCTCTACTGAGATTCCCTTCTCCAACTTTTCTGCCCACCCCAATCCCTGCACACACAAATTCACTCCCTCCGCAGCTGGCTCCATCTTACCAGCAGGTCTTAGGCTTGATCAACACTTTCTCAGAGGCCCGATTACCCAACCTAAAATAAGAGTTACCTGTTATTCTCTTTTGCTTTTCTTTCATGGCACTCATCACAATTTGTAATTATATAATCATTTCTTCACTCTTTAAATTGTCTGTCTCTCACTAAAATATAAACTCCATAAAAGTAGGAACCAAGTATGTCTTGCTCACCAACAGGCCAGTGACCAGCACGAGGCCTGACAAACAGCACTCAATTTGGTGAAAGTAATGAGTCACCCTTGACTCAGCCCTCTTCCTCACCAAGAAAATCCACTCAATTATAACCTTAAAAACGTCCCTCAAATCCTTCTCTTCCAAACCATTCCCCATTCATTCCCACATACAAGAAGAACCCACAAAAAAACCCAGAATTATCTTTTGGAGGGTAGACCCCTTGTATTACAGGCTTACTCACTAGGTAAGTGATCTTGGAGCCCATCAGCATCAATGTACCAGCTAACGTTGTGAGAAGCTGCATTCAACTTCAGTGAGTTTTTTGGGCAGAGATTCTTTCAACACATTTGCCCATTTATGATGGATGATTTATAAGCATACCTGCCCACACCACACTGAGTATTCAGCAATTTTTTACCAAAAACAGCATGACTCCCATGCTCACACTCCCTATTCACCCACTCTCACCCTGAGTGACTTTTTGTTTCTCCAATGAAAAAAATCCTCAAAGGGAAACATTTTGCCAATGTGGAAGAGGTGAAACAAGCAAACAAACAAACAAAAAATGGCAGAAGCACTAAAAGGCACCAAAATTTTCAAGTTCAAAAAACTGTTTTGAGCAGTGGAAAAAGCATCTTGATAGGTATAATGAATCAAAGAGTACTCTGAAGGTAATTAAGTTTAAACATGTAAGAATACACAATTTTTTATAAATAAATTCCATTTTGGGGGGATTCCCCCCTCATATTGCCTGGATAATTTTACCTCCTTCTTAACTGATCTCCTTGCCTCCCTTCTCATCTGCCCAATTCCTCAATATCACCATTCACCATATCCTCCAAATAAACAAACTAATACAAACATGATCTTATTTTCTTTCTGCTTTAAAAGTTCCCCTGACTTACTCCTGCTTATAAAGAAAAAATATTATAGAAAATGAAGTTTTATAGAAAATGAGACTTTCAAGTCTGATGTCCCCCCAACCTCCACTACCCACATATTCCCTTTTACTCCAGACATGTCCCAAACTAAGATGGTTCCCTGACTGTACACTTTTATGCCTTTGCTTTCATGTTCCTTTTACCTAGTACAATCGTGGACATCCTTCAAGGTTCACCTCAAACATCAGTTTCATAGGATGCCTTCCTAAACCTTCAAGGCAGAAATAAGTTTCCATATTCAAATATAATGCTTATCACCTTATCTGGAGAGACAGTATCAGCACAGTAGTTAAGAGAACAGACTGCCAGGCTATGGAAGCTTACAGACTAAGTAACCTTTAGCAAATTATTTGCTGTCCCCAGGCCTCAGTCATCTCATCTAAACAGGGGATAATGACAATACTACTATAACAGGACTGTTGTGAGAGCTTATTGCACAGACGTGACCATAATGAGATTCAATAATGCTAGCTATTAGTTATTAATATAAGCTGTGTGAATCAGTGTCTGAACTACCTGAAAGCAACACTCTGCTTTGGTTATCTGTGTATCCTCATTAGCTAACACTGGACACAAGAGCACTTAGAATTTTCTCAAATGAAAATGAAGTTGAGATTAAGAATCACCATGATAATGTGGGGAGAGGGGAGCATGGTGAACTGCAATTATTAGGTTAGAGAACATTTAGGGAACATCAAAAATATTTTATACTGAGATGAAATCAGGCTGTATATTATCATGTATCTATCACCTCTAAGTTTTAATAGCCAAAATGATTACTGCTCTAATGCTCTGGTTCATCACACCAATTATTATTACAATTTTTACTTGGCTTCTTTCAGACTCTAGGTTATTACTTTCCGGGGCCCTAGGCCTGTGCTAATTTGCATGACTTTTAAACTAATCATTAGATTTAAAAAGCAATTTTGCAATTTAAGTCCACAGCACTTAATTGACTTCCTACCTCAAGGCAGTAAATTACCATGAAACAGCTCATCAGACCTACCAGTCTATACAAGAGCAGAGAGTGTTACAGTTGTGTTTTAGAAGTTACATAGAAGATTCAGAAAATGTTAGGCTTAAGAGTGGATCTCCTCGCATGGTGGGACTCCAGGTGCCCATAAAGGCTGTATGTATATACAGTCGTAAACATGCTGTCCACCCCTCTGGCCTGAAGAGCCCCCCCCCCCCCCAAAGGGCGTGTGCGATTGTGTTTCGGTGGCTGCGTGGCCACGCCTTGGGACCTCCTGACTGGCAGGTGGCCCGTTAATGAGTTCTGGCATTAGGGTCACCCCGGCATGCAGAACAGTGAGCGGCTCCCCACCAGGCGTTGCGTGCCGCGGACGGCTGCGAGACGTGCACCCATCACTCGCGCTGATGTCTCGGCGGTCATCCCTTGCGGGAGAGCTGGACAGCACCGCCGACGGGAGGGCAGTCCCAGGGGGAACTGGCTGAGGGGCTGGGGGCGAGGAAGGCAGATCCTTCCCAGGGCTTGGCGCTCCCCGTGTTTTGAGGGCAGGACCTTGCACCAACCTCCACGAAGGCATCAGTCAGGTCACTAGCACGGTCCATCACTGGCAAATGGCGCCCGGCCACGATTTTCACCTTCAGCTTCCCGGGCATCGCCTTGGCTTCGGCCTCT